TTTTAACACAGCCGTGGTACTGGATTGAAATATAAAATACGATTTTTTTTAATCGAAAATGTCAAAAGTTGACGTACGATATGTCATTCTATTCAGAACTTAATTTTCTATCGAATAAAGTATAAAAATATACCGAGGGTTCCATTTAAAAATCAAAACTTGTAAGTAATCATTTCCGATTAAACAGGAAGCGACCAAAAATAATTGAATACGTCAATCAATCCTAAATTAGGTGATAATTAACGTATCAAATCTTGTGTTGTTATCTGAAAAAATAAAAATGTTATAGGAGTGAGCCACTTTCGAGACGCACCCGGTATTTAATCTTATAAAATGTTAATAATGTTAAAAATTAAATATTATGAAAAAATTCTAATTAAAAAGTATAGCAATAACATGTTTTACATAACAATACATTTAAAAGTTAATTCATAATCAAATAATGCCATTGTTAATTCTGTTTTTTTTTAATAAAATATTCTTAAACAAAGCTATATACCGGGTGTTGCATTGTCGGACGGGACATAGGAAATCCCATGTAAATTTTAATGGGGTCAATTATTGACTTCCCTAATTATTTTAGAGAATAATTCTATTTAGGTTTATTGAAGAGCACTAAAACCCACATTCAAAAGAATAACTTTAGATATTTTTTATTAGCCCGTTTACGAGTTATCGCCGATTTCTTTTTAAATATTTCTCCTTTCTTATGGCCCTGTATTTACTTATGAGCACCAGTCAAGGTAAAAGATAACTGTCAAATGAAGTTGTCGTTTCAGAAATTTACCTATTTAGTGCTTTATTATTATTGAAAACTCATTCCTACATCGGAAATCTTAAAGATGTATTTATAAATACAAATTAATATGAATTAAAGTAAAATAAAGTAATCAGTTACAAGGTTAATTATAGTATTATTACAATATTCAATAACTTATTAATTTAGGTACTGTTAAATTGTTAGAACTTTAGGATTTAAGATGTTCAAATATTCCTCCATCGACTGCTAGACAATAACCCAGGCGATCATAAAATTCTCTTCTTACATTCGCTAGTTGGTAAACTGAAATTCTATTGCATTCAGCAGAAATAGCATTTTTTTATTCGTCTAGATCTGGGTATTTTTTATCCATGTATATCCTGTTTTTTAAATGGCCCCAGAGAAAGAAATCATTTGGCGAAATATCAGGAGACCTTGCTGGCCAATTTACTGTATGATTTAGGCCAATAACGTTTCCGTTAAAACTATTGTCTAAATATTCCCGAACAGCCAGGGTACCACGTGCCGGGCAGCCATCCATTTGGTACCAAACTTCCTGATTTTCCCTAGCGGCATCATGTAAAGCAGGTAAAATATGATTTTCGAGTAGTTCCAAATAATACTCTGCCCGATAATATTGTGTTCGAATATCCCTGCCCAAACAATTACTTTCTGTGGATATTACGTCCTTGTTTCGACAAACCTGTGTTGGTTTTCTATGTTCCAATATCGATAATTTTGAACATTGGGTTCATTATTTAAGGTAAACGTGCATTCGTCAGCGAAACATATGTTTTTTAAAAATTCCCTATCCGTGTTTGCTCTTTCCATCATATCAAAACAAAACGCCTGCCGCCGTATTTCGTCCCCATCTCGTAGCTCTTGGTGCTTTTCATATTTATGTCGTTTCAAAATTCGAAACGCTGTAGTGTGATCTATTCCTATTTCATCCTCAAGTTTCCTTGTGCTGATCTTTCCATCGTTCTCTTCCACGCACAAGAAAACTTCCAAGTTGGTATCATTTCTTGCATCTTCTCTTTGTTCCTGCCTTGCTTCACATCTGCAATTATTCATTAGGGTACCTTTGGTCTCAAATCTTTAGATATTCCTTGCGATTGTAGATTTTCCAGGTATCGGTCTATTTGGATACAGAGCAGCAAACATGTCCGACGCTTTTTGATAACTATTTCCTTGATAATACCATTTAATCACCAATACTTTTTCTTCGGTAGTGTAATTCATGGCTAATATTTTCGATGTAGGTATGAGTTTTTAATAATAATAATGAAGCACTAAATAGATAAATTTCTGAAATGACAACTTCATTTGACAGTTATCTTTTACCTTGACTGGTGCTCATAAGTAAATACAGGGCCATAAGAAAGGAGAAATATTTAAAAAGAAATCGGCGATAACTCGTAAACAGGCTAATCAAAAATATCTAAAGTTATTCTTTTGAATGTGGGTTTTAGTGCTCTTCAATAAACCTAAATAGAATTATTCTCTAAAATAATTAGGGAAGCCAATAATTGACCCCATTAAAATTTACATGGGATTTCCTATGTCCCGCTCGACGATGCAACACCCGGTATATATTTTGGCATTTGGATAACTGGTCAGTTACGTTATGTAACAACTAAACATTATATTTCCTATGATTTCAATAAACTATAGTAAAAAGATGGTTAAAATATTGTACAGAGTGTGCCAAAAAGTTGACAGCAACTAAGATTTTCTTTTTTTCCAAGGCTTCCACAACTGTATAATTTTAAAAACTAACACAAGCAAAATTTATGATACTCAAATGGCATTAACCTCTGGCATCAAAACTCAATTGTAAAAAGAAACATTTAATGCAAACTTTTTTGCTGGACATTGTCTACAATATCTTCCAGCATCATTTTCATCAATATTTATTTAAGTGCATTATATGCATTATAGTATGATACTATTTATATGATATAGTCTTAAAAACGCTGACCTACCTTAAGGTTGTGCCAATTGCCAAGAATTATTTTAAACCGCCTACAACCAGAAAACGATATACTCAAGTCATTATAAGAAGATAAAAATAAAGATACTCTTTAAATAATTAATATTTCAATGTTTGACACATTTTTTCAACACTACAATATTTTAATCATTGGTTTTGCGTCAGTGTAAAACCTAATTTTACTCATATTTACATAGTGATGTTGGTAGCGAATATTTCCATTCGAATTTTGCAGGAAATTTCAGAAATTTCCGAAATATTCGGTCCCAAAATCGCGAATATTCGCAAAAATCCGAATTTTGCAAGAAATTTCTTTTCAAAATTCAAGACATTGAGCAAAAATTTAACGAAAGTGTATCAAGTATGCCTATTCTTAAGTCAGAAGAAAAAGAATGCTTCTCCGCCTTACAAAATATAAAACCTATGGCTCTTGAACCAATGCATTTTGCCGCGAATCTCTTGGACCCCTGTTTCCTGGGAAAGCACCTTAACAATGAAGAACACATAGCCGCTATGGAATTTATCAACAATATCACCAACAATCATCCTCAGTTTGTCAATAATAAGCCATTTTTACAGATGTAACAAAGTATTGCGCCAAATCGGGTTTATGGGCTCTCGACTACGTTTGGATGTCAGTTAAAAATGTAGACTGTCTAAGTTGGTGGCAAGCAATGTGTAAAAATACAGTACTTACAGTTTTATCCATACTAAAAAAAGGAATCGCTTAACTGCCCAAAGAGCCAGTAAAATAATGTTCGTAGCTCATAACAATAAATTATTACTACAAAAACAAAAAGTGGATATGGAGCATGATATTCAACAACAGGAAATTCCTCCAGAACCACTAGAACTCATTGGAGGTAGAGGTCCATCCTGCAGAATCAGAACCAGATGATACATCAAATATATCTGATTTGGAAATAAATTATAAACTGACGAAGACAGTACTACTACTACTATAATACCCTATGAAGATGGGACCAGGTCGGCGCCTGATATTCGGAATAGAATAATTCAGTTATTTGTGTTTTACGTTTTTAAAATTTATATTTCGTGCTTTTTTGATTTTTTTTTAATTCATAGTCATAGTTCAGTGGTTTATGCACAAAATACAAATGTTACCAAATGATTTTTTGTTATGGGTTATGTTTATGACTTTTATGGGTTATGTATTGTTTATTAAAAATATAACAACTAATATTATGTTTATTGTTTTTTTTTCCACTTACATGTTGGTATCAAATGTCTATCTAATTTATTCATTTATTGTATCGACAAAAAATATGTAAAATTGTAAAATTTCCTAATATTTCATAAATTTTCCGAAAGTTTCAGAAATTTCCTGCAACAATCAAAAATTTCTGGAATATTAACATCACTATATTTATATGTCAATTCCAATAAAAATTTAATAGGTATCATAGTTTCAATGACATGGAATTAAGTACACAGAACATAGTAGTTTATGATGTAAGAGATAAAAAGAATGCCTTTTAAAAAAGTCTCATATTAAGTTCTTACAAAAATAATTTCATTATTATGCAAAAGTTTGATTGATTATTAACAATATCAAACTGTAACCTTGCGTTTTTCCAAAATAATTAACAAGTTTGTAAATAAAATTAACCACAAACCATTTAGTAATTAAATCAAATAAATAATTGCTAATTATATAAAAGAAACCGTAATTAGCTATTTAAAAAGTTGTAAGTAGGTACCTAAATAAACTATTTTAAAAATAAAAAAATGATAATTAACATAAATTTGAAAAACAATCTTGGATAAAATAGGACCTAAGTACTAATTTTAAAACTATAATTAATATAATTAATACCTAATAATTTTAAAACTATAATTAAAAATAAACCAAACTATACTAGGTTTAATCATGTAATACTCAATTCTAAACATAATAGTTATTGGATTTTCATCTTTAACAGACTCAATAATTTTAATCACTGCTTATCTCACAAAATCTTGCTTCAACCTTCTTTGTTTACATTGTTAATACACAAATTAAACAGCTCGGATACAAGAACTGTTATCTACAGGAACCTTTTATCAAGATAATCAATAACTTAAATTACAATAATTAAAACATGAGTTCAGAACGTAAAGGCTTTATGTAGTTACAAAAATATTAAATGTCATGTCATAAAGTGGACAATTGTGGATATGTTACGAAAGGTACTGGAGTTATTTCTTTAATAACCAATGATAAAAAAATGAAGTTAATTAACTTACATTGGTGTTTATCTGCGAGCTGTATTAATGGAGATGGTAGGTCCCTCCTCCTGTAAAAACACATCACTTTGGCTTCCACATTACCCGAAGGAGTTTTGTTCAGTTCCTCAATTCGTCGAATTTGATAAGGCGACGTCGAAGACGCCTCAAAATACACGTAATCTAAAACCAAAAAACACGCCTTTCAGTGATAACTTTTGATTGGGACCTGCATCTATTTGAATAATTGAGTTATAACCGTTTTACAACGAACAAACCAAAACAAACACGGATTAAAATCGTTCCCCCTGTTTATTTTAGATTCTGGCAGAGTAAGGTTAGGTTTAAAAAGCAGATACACATAAATATTTCGTTATAAAACCAGCCAAGAGACGAAAAAAGATGACTTTGGGTGTTGATTTATATTAATTAAGTCAGATTCCCTATCGTTATCTTTTATCGAATAGTTTCCGTGCTAAGTAAATAGATATAAAAAGAATTTTTTAAAAAAATCTACGATCGGGGGATTTAAACGGTAGCCGAAAAGGTAAACGGTCCATGCACAGGCTCGTTAAGTTAAACAACAAGGAAGTCTTTATAGAGCCGGTTGACAGACAAGAGCAAAATAACGACAAAACTCACCTCCGATTCGGTACATGTTGGCCGTCATTGTCGCGCACAAAAACTACAAACAACGGGGCACGGTATCAAACGTAACGGGGGCGCATTTTTTTCAGTTTGTAAATCCGATTTTTTCAATGTTTTTTCACTGCAACACCACGTACCGCCGCCAAGCTTTCGGACGCCATTTTGTCAATTGCTCTCTGTTTCTGTTAGCGTGCGAGATCGGTGTGAAGTGGGATGGAAGCCGTCAATTGACGCGTCGCGGTCAGTAGACGAACTAAAAGAATTCAATAAAAAGAAATCTAAAAAAAATAAAATATTTTTTAAAAAATCCGATTTTTTAAATGTTTTATTCTATTCTCTGGTTTTATTAAAAGTGTTATTGTTTTTTTAATAACCCTGTAAAGTGTTTTTACATAAGTATTTACAAATGCTTAATAAAGTGTTGTAATATAATTAATAACAATGTAATGATATAATAATTAGAAAATGTATGGCATTAAATAAATAAATTATACATGCTGCGTAAATATTCATTTCACAGGGTACACGACACGAACTCCTGAATTTTTATAGTTACTAAAGAAACAAATCTATAAAAGCATTCATTCTTATTATAATTTAGTCAAACCAATGCACAAATGCACATATCTATAGAAAAGAACAGGAAATTATCCTATCCTCTTTATACCACATGAAATTCTTAATCTAAAACATGTTGCCTTTTGTGGTTGGTCGCTTTTGAAAAGTACAAATTAAACAGATATGTAGTCACCTAAGACAGCAACCAAAAATAAAAACCTACATACTTTTGACTTTGACGAACTTTGACAATGCATTTAACATTTTTTTTTAAATATTGTTGTTGAAAATAGTGTGTGTAATTTTTATTAAATAATTTAATCAATTTTGAATGCACAGGTGTCATCTGTTATCAACTTTACGAAAAAGAAATAGTATAGACCGAAAAGTAGATCCATACATTCTTTAAATATTAAATTAGTACGTTGTTATACGATAAATATCTGTCGTTCAAATATTGACCATGATTAAAAATGGAAAATTGAAATATCTATAAAATTAAATGATTTTTTATAATCAATACTTTTAAGTAACGAAGACTATCGTGAGATGGCACTGTAAATATTTTGGTTTTCTAAAATTTATTTAAATCAAAAATATTTTTTGTTATTTCTTGTAAAACTTGTAAAGTATTTCTAAGAAGTTGAAAAAAAATAAAGATAAACGGTAACAGATACTTATTTTTGAAAATCAATTCAAATCAATCATATTTTTAACTCTAAAACCTTCAAAATATCTCTTTCTAATCAATATTTCAATAATACAACATAATTAAACTCTTTCAACGCTTTAAAAACCCTAAAAACCCCATTTTTAAAGCCTTAAACTCGTTTGCGCTCATTTATAACCTATTTATCCACTTTAAATAACTAATTATTTAACCTAAAATATCACTTTTTAACCAATCAATCAATAACACAGCACAATTAAACTCTTTCTCCACTTTAAACCACCTGAAAACGTCACTTTTTAAGCTTGAAACTTATTTGCGTTCATTTAAATTAAAAACATGCGCGGGTAACTGGTTGCAGCGCCATTTCGTACTTATGGTGTTCCTTGCAACTAAATACTCTGGTAACGTCATCTATCGAGAAGTAGCCAAACCGGTAAATTATTTTTTACGGGTTTCTCTAGTAAAATAATCTGGCGACATCTAACAATTAGTAACTGAACTTAGACACAATTTAAAGAATTCTGGAAATTTTAGTGCCCAAAAAGTGTCGAGTTAGCGCCATCTCTGAAGAAAATTTGCTACTATATTTAATTTTAACGTAAGAAAATACGAAATTTTTCAGAGTTTTAACTTAAATTAATACTAGGTACCTTAAATACTACTTAATTTAGATAAAATAAAGAATTCTATTTATAGTTAAAAAGAGTATAATATTCAGTAAATTGTGGGTGTCAAATATTTTAAACTCTTAGTTTAGCTATATTTGTATTAATTATTTTAAACTGTATTCTTTTATATACGATTTAAGTTTATCTCAAAATTAGTTTAGTCAGTTTAAAATATTTATTTGTCTTTGTCTCTTTATTTGTAAAAAATTCAATATTCTTGACAAAATTATGAAGGAAATAATTATATTTCCATGAAATCCATAAATGTGTGAAAACTAGTTTACTTTATTACGACCAATTTTATTTTAATATTATTCATTTGTAGAAAATACTTTTTTATTTTGTTGAGGATGTATTTTAATGTAAATATGATAAATAAGTTTAATTTAGAATTTTGAAGCTTTATGCGTTTCTGATTGGGTTGCTTTTTATTATAAATATTTAGAATTGTCATCTTTGTATAAAATATTTTTAAGTGTATGTCCATACTCAACTTAATGAAGTTCCTTAATTCATTATATCTTAAATGTACAAGAAAATAATTCAGTAATAATGTTCTTGACAAAATTGCGAAGGACTATTTATTAATCTTAAAGTGCTAGCACAGAATATATTATTATCTTTGTGAAAAAATATTTTGTTTAAGCCAATATAATATATAGGATTTTTAATTCAAGCTTTACGTTAAATTGACTCTCTTTATATTAGAATTTATCGTGCAACTGTCATGAACATTCTTGACGAAATGGCGAAGGAGATTTAATATAATCTTAATGTAATTTTGAAGTCTTAAATACTTTTTAAATATACTAAATATCGAAATTGTTAGAGAGAAACATATTTTTAATAAAAAAATAAATAAGTTATACTAATGGGCTCTTTCACAAAAAATAAAATACCCAATTCAAGGATAAAATCTGAAATGAAAGACTATTTTCAGTATATTTATCCAAAAAAAATAATTCCATGACATTGAATAATGTTTTTATAGGCCCTCAAAATTGCTTTAATTTGAAATAATTTTAAAGCGCCAATTGATGACGTATGAAAAATACGCCCAATCACATTGCAGAACCGTGTTCGTGCGCCAGCCAACAACTGGCAACATTGCGATTTGATTTGACCAGCACCACCTCAACTCAAGGCCAATCAACATGATATGGGCAAGGCAAATATGGCGGTGAAGGCAGCGCGTTATTAAATTGTTTACCTTTAAACTGAAAAGCCGGTAGTGGTTTCTCGTTCCGATTGCATACCAGATAATTAATTATCTCTAGTTTGTTGTGCTTCTGGAACACGTTTGTTTGGTTCTTAGTGTTCAGTGCATGGTGTGATCAGAAAATTGTGATAAAATAAAAGTGTAATAAAAATCCAAACCAGACATTCCACATAGGGAACTTCAAACTTTTGTGCTTGTCGTACTCCTCTATTATTAATTATTTTAAGGTAAGAACTAGAAGTATTTATCAAGATATTACACCTAAATGTGTAAAAAGCCTTCACCGCCAGTCTGCATAGTACTTTGTAATGGTTATACTTACAATAATCAAAAGATAGGTATTAAAGAGTAGGTATTAACATTTTATTGTAGCATACCTTTTACATGCTCTGTTCCAAATTGTCACGAGAATTATAGAGGGGGTCCCAAGGTTTCTGCTTTTATATTTCCCATAAATGACGAGCTTCGTAAAAAATGGTTGACAGCTATTAAAAGAGATAATTTCACTCCTACTAGTAGTTCTCGGGTAAGAAGTGCATTAAATATGCCTCAAAAAGGCCAAAGGCCAAAGCCTCTGTTACTCTAGTGAGGATGTAGTTATGGTTACTGCTTACACTTACCTCACAAGATATTGACAACATTCACATTTGAAAATATAAATGGCCTGGATGTAAGTCTTTTTTTTAGGTCACAATTGCCCCTCACATACGTCAGAATTTATTAATAAATCCATCTTGTTCAGAATATCCAATATTTTATTGAAGAACTATGCAAAAAAAGGAATGACGTTATAAAAAGGTATTTAGTTTTTTTTCTATATAAAATCTTGAAACACATATTATATTTTTTATTTATCCTCACCTATTATAGTTTAAATTTATTCCCATTTGTGTAATGCTGCAAAACATAGGAAAAATATTTCACATTTTTTGACCCAAGCTCAAGAATCTCCTTTGTATATTTCCAGCACCACGAGCTAGCCCTGAAACATCACGCTTACATCGACCTGATTTTAATTGTTTATATTATGTTAAAACAATGTTTATTATAAGAACATATTCAGGTCAACGTATACGCGAACGATTCCCTTGAATCTACATCAAATTGGTTTACTAGAATTATATTTTACATGATTTTTCCCAATTTGATGTAAACCCAAGTTGGCCTATATTTAAGTCTTGACAATATTGTTATTTAAATGTTTGTGAATTATCATATGTTGGAATTTCTAGAAATTAATTCAGATAAGCTCAAAATGATTTTCAACTCATATGTATATTTACCTCTTGTGAATAAATGTATAAAAATAATAATTTAGCGTTTTATTGTATTTGAACATATTGTTAATGTAAACTCTTTAAATTAATAAACACTTTAAATACTCTATTATAGTTATGTGTAGTAGCTTTTCTTAATTTCTTTAGGATATCAACCAAAGATACTCATGTATTAGTATAATGATTTAAGACGGTTGTGTGTGAGATGAATAATTAGTTTTTGAATTAAAACCCATGTGTAGCTCAACCAAAACATGTTTTGAACTATGTGTCTAGATGCTTTGGTCTTTTTTAGCGTTTGGTCCCTATAATAATTTTAAAATTTGACAAGAAAAGTAGCGTACGATACAAGTGAAAGCGTTCACTCTAAATAATAAATTATTTTGTTATAATTTTAATAAACTTTTAAATTTTTCTACCTATTTTAACAAATTGAAAATATTATATTCAGAATTATAACATTTAGGTTTTAGGTGCTTTTAAATATTTATATGTTGAGAAAACAAAAATAAACAAGAATACTATGTATCATATAGGTTATGTTTAGTTTTCAATGTAAGTAATGATGACGTCAGAGTATTTCATAGATTTGTCAAGACTTGAGTTCCGCGTTCGTCCCCCCCCTGGCCCCCTATACGACACGCCACTGAGAATGAGTGGGAAGAAGCAGCTCACAATAGAACTCAATGGGGAAGAATTGTAAACTCAGTTAACAGCGACAACCAAAAAATAAAGAGGCAACAAAGCAATGAGATTTTTGAATGTCCGGAGTGCGGTAGGCAGACAACATCACG